ATTTAGTGTTACTTTGGAAAATAAATGTAAATGAATCATTTATACTTAAAAAATAAATATAAATAAATGAAAAAAAAAATTATCTTTATTTTATAAAAGTAAATGATTCCTTTATATTTATTTATTTATTTGCTTTCCCTTATCTCAATCTACTCTGTCGAATGACGTATGAACAAACGAAATCGGCAGAGTTCAGCGAAAAGCGTTTCCTCGTAAACGTTTGTGTATGCGTGTTTAATTAGGTAAAATACTGTGCTAAAAGAGAATCTACAATCCACTTTGTAATGCTAACAAATTTTGGAATTCTTTCTATTGCATTTGTTTAATTGATGTTTTTACTTCAATGTCTGTATTTCATGAAAACCTTCTCAATGAAAGAGTATACCTCATAAAATACAGAAACTAAACGTATGATGATCTATTACACTCGAACAGTTTTTATCTCTAACTCAGACTTGATTCTGGTTTTCTCTACGACGGTGTCTTGCCACATGTTTTCATTCTTGTCTATTATCAATGAAAGGAGTATTGAAAAAAGTATTACTTTTTGTTGCATCATTATATCGACAATATGTGACATATTCAATGTGTAATTTTGTTTTCAAACTGCTACATTAGAATAGTATTTTCGATTGGATTCGGATAATGATTATACTATTAATGTAATGAAATATAGTTCGTTAATCTAATCTAATGTCTAGATGTTTTTTGAATGTTAAAATCTGATTTTATCTTTTACAAATCGATATTTAGATTCCATCACTTAATGAATCACATGATCGTTCATTACCAAATGGTTGTTTGGTACGTTATCGTTGTATGATTCAAGATATGGGAGAAGATGAAATTTATTGCAGTATGTAATTTGTACAATAGTCGATACATACGTTGTATTTCATCCGTTCTCTATTTTTCTCTAGATGATTATACTGTCCGATCAAACGATGGTGTTGATCAAATTGAAAAACTAGGAAAATATCGTGATATACTTGTTTGTCCAGTAAGTAGTCTAACAGTGTGTGTATGTTGAACAATTTTTTTTCATTTTAGACTTTTCTCTATTTTAGCCTGGTTATCAATTTGTTGATGTTGAACCGAATCGTGAAAAATTTGCATCTCGTCAATTATACTACTGTACATCGATACCAAATGAAACAGAATGGGTAAAATATGCATACAATAATCAATCGAAAAATGAAAATGATAGACAAAAAAGGTTAGCCTCTTTATGAATGTTTTTTTTTTTCTATTTAAGTTTATGTTAAAGATATTACTAAGTTATTTTTTTTTTTCTAATATATTATTCATTTATTCCAGACCATCGGATGATCCATTATTACAAGAGAAACGTGTCAAAAATGATTGTGGTGAATCTCGTTCATCTATGACGATACAAAATGGAACAGAAAATGCCAAACAAAACGACTCCTATGTTGTAAAAGTAAAGAAAATCTTATTACTATAAAAAAAAAAAAAGCGGTCATAGATTGACAAAAGATCATCACTTTTGTATCCGTTTTAGGTTTATGACACGTCCGATGATTTGTTATTGAATACAATTATTGAATTTATTGGCGTTTATTACGATTGTAGTGATCAAGAAACTGAAATGTATGTATTTGTCTATCTTCATTTTCGTTTTTCCTACTTTGTCTGTTCTCTATCTCTAACTCCGACTAACTTTTGTGTACCTCTTCTGTTCTTTTCACAGGAATGAAGAAGTTAATATGGACGATGATCAACAAAAATATCCTCAAATTCACTGTATTCAATTCAAAAAACTTCAACATAATAATCCATTAATAGATCAACAATATGGTAGGTTGAAACAATGAAGAAATACATGTGTACTGTCATGTGTAATTAATACAATAATTCTCATTTAATTAAATTTTATTTTCTTTAAATTTAGGATTGATTTCATCTTCTCCCTCATTTGTTGAAACTCGTTCATATTTATTATCATTATTTTCTCAGTTATTTTTTAATGATACATTATTATGTGAATATTTATTATTACATATAATATCTCACGTTTATGTTAGAGAAGGTCTTTGCTCATATGGAAAATTATCGTTAAATATTTCAAATATTACTCATGAACAACAATGTTTGATTACAGAATTCTTAAAACAAATTTTACCACTATGTACATCATTTCAATTAACGTGTGAAACATTAAATACTACACAAATGATGCCAAATAAAAATCTTACAACAAATCGTCTACAATCGACTAAATTTCAATTACCTAAATATACCCAACTGATTTTAGGTAACATAAAGATGAAGGGTGTCTCATTTGAGTACGTTCTCATCTGAGTGGGTTCCAAAATTTGAATGCTTTTTCAATTATACTACGCATTCTTGAAAATATTTTGAAACTTTTGAACCGTTTCTGTTACCACTGTTTATTATTAATTCTTAGTGACGATTAATCTTTTATTTTAATTTTAAAAAGCTTGTGAACTTTATTTTGACAATACAATTTCACTTTAAGAAGAGGGACTGCTATACATGTTTAGCAGTAGCAAAACATCGTCCTATTGTCAAAACATAATCTAAAATTTGAGTTAGACCTAGATTAAAATCATCTGTTATATGTTGTACCGTTCTGTTGAGTGTTTGATATTTTAATTTTCTTCAATCTATATATGTCCTAGCACGTAAACTAAGACATATTGTGCTTGAAGTGTTTCATTCAATCGCCGGTTGTGTTTGTGGTAGATGTAATAGTTTAGAATGTCATCATTCAACATCATTATTATGTTCAACTATCTTGACCAAAAACATTCCATCATACTGTCCATTTAACCGGGTGTTTGAGAAAAAAATGATAAAACAGTTGCATTTTATGTTATATACGTAATAATGTCGAGTCAACTACTTCATCACAGGTGGATTGTACTAAATGTGTTGGTAGGAATGGAATGCCTGAAATAAAAGATTATTAACCACTAAGAATTTACATAACAAACAGTGATGACAGAAACGGTTTAAAATTTTCAAACTATTTTCAAGAATGAGTGGTGTAACTGGAATAAGACATGCTAAAATATGATGTACTAAAATAGGAAAGATGAGAAACCACTCAAGTGAAGCCTCAACCGTAAAAAGAGAGTGATAGGTTCTTTTTACAATCGTGTATCTCGTCTAATTCTAATGCTTCATTTTAGATGAAACTCTCATGGAATGTGGTCAATTAACACCATTGGGTTGTACAAATATTCAATTACTCTCCAATATTCTCAAACAACAAAAATTAAAATACGAATTTCATATATATCAATTGGAATATGAATGTGATGTTAAAACATTGATTCTTTCACAAACAAAATCTATTTTACCTTCCATTGATGTTCATATCAAACAAGAAAAACATTCCCAACAAACGCCAGTTTTACAATCGATACCAGAAGAAAAATTAAACGAAATTCGACTATATTTAACCTATACCAGTCATTTAATTCAATTTGAACAACGAGATGATACATCGACGAATATACAAAATGATTTTGTTAACATGAGAAAACAAAAATTATTAACAAATCTCGACGATTTTCATTTATTATTAGTCATAGCAAGGTAAATGAGAGAAAAATGAAAAGTTACTTTTCGTATTAGTCAACGTGTAAATTTATTCTGAAACTGAAAAGGCGACAGTGCATAAGCTAAGGAATCAATCTATTTTTGTTTTGGGTGAAATAACAGACGTCTGGGCAGTTTTCATCTTTCCAACTCAAATGATATCTCGACTCGAAGACTGGCATTAACGAGTGCCATTCCGATTCGCCTTAGAAGTGCACAAACAAATAAACAGATGGATAGAAAGCTCTTTAAGTTCTACATACCGGTCCATTTACAACGTCTTCATTGGTTTACAAAAAAATGCAGGATGTTTCGTATTTTATTGGGAGAAGGTTTTTTGGGGTTTTTTGTTTTTTTTTGGAATGGGAGATAATTTTATTTTTTTAT